TGCTCATTGCTTCTCATCCGCGCATTACTTCTCTCCAGCTCTCGCCTCTTCTCTCATCAGCTCATTACTTCTCATCTGCTCAGTCCAATCACTCGTGCTCTTGAGCAGATGCAATGCAGCACGCTTCTCTTGTGCTTAGCCATATTCTCGACTTCCTTACAAAGTTTCTTCACTTCTCTCGTATTCAGTCTTCTCCTCACTTCTCCTTCCGTGGCCGCGTCTCTTTCCAGAAATTCCCCCCCTGCGCCCCGCCACTCATTTCATCGGTTCTCCCCTCTCTCGGTCTTTTGCCCTGTTCTCTCTCCTTTGCTTGTTCTTTCCCTGTTCTCTGTTTCGCCTTTGACTCTCCTCACCGCCTCTCCTGTCCACCCCGCTTCTCTCCCTTCCTCTCCCTTCCTCTCCTTTCCTCTCCTCTTCGTTATTCTCCTGTGGTTGTCTCCATCAACTGCCTCATTCGCATCTCTCCACTCCATTTAGATTGGGTCTGCCTTTCAATCTGTTGCATATGCATCCGGTGTGTCTTCTCACCTCACCTCCGTTCGGTCAAACCCCTTGCAGCCTTCTCTTGCGCCGATCCTCATCTCATCCTTGTCTCGGCCCATCCTTCTTATCCCATCCTTATAACGTGCCATCCCTACATCGTCTCATCGCGCTTCAGGTACCTAAATAACAACCAATTCTCAGGAACAATTCCGGACATTTTTTCCTCCCTCACCATGCTGTCCATATTGTGAGAGCGAAGTGAAATATTGTACTGTTTTGTGGCTGCAATGCAACGCAATGCAATGCAACCCTGCTGACTTTCGAACGACAATCAGTCACATCACATCCCCATATTCTCTTCTCCATCCCCAGCTCTCCCATTAGGGCGTGTAAAGTCGCCAAACATCTTAAATCTGCAAGATCCGTCGGGCCGTTTTTGGCGAAGGTAACCAGCTAACGACGTTCGTTGATAAATTAACGAACCTCGTCAATTTCGCAAAAAATATGCGAATTAGATGGCCGTTTTACCGAGACGACACCGAAACGATGCGGGGTCAACTCCATCCGGCCACGTAGCCGACTTGTCAGTGCGACAGATACATGCGATGCCGCACACTGCTCATCGCGACAGAACGTGTGATCCCCACACCGCATCAAATACTGGCATCAAATTTACGACACCGTTTCTAGCCATTTGTGCGACTGCAAATCTGACAACTTCGATACAACGGCCTGCAAATCGGCCACCAAAGCTGGCAATTTCGCAAAACTTCAAATCTCGGCCGCAAATCTGTCGACAAGTTGTCGACCAATCTGTCGGCTTTATTAAAAGAAAATTCGACCGTGGTTGACGAATAACCAGCCAAAAGCAGATCTCGCTTATGTTCGGGGCTTTTACACGCCCTTATAATGATTCTCAAGAGTGACACTCCTCCCCACACACAACACACTCGGCTGACCTCGTGTTTTGAGTCGACCCAAAACACGATTCCTCAAGAGTGGCACTCCCCTCCTCCCCCACACAACACACCCCGCCTGCCTGAGCTCGCCCCTCCGCCATCCTTGCCCATCACACCACCCTTTTGCGTCGACTCAAAACGAGGTGACTTTTGAGTCGACTCAAAAGTCACTTTGGTACTTCGCCTCCTCCCACACACACCACACCCCGCCTGCCTGACCTCGCCCCTCCGCCATCCTTGCCCATCACACCGCCCTTCCCTCACCACCTCTCTCCTTGTTTCTACCGATGATGGATGTAACTCGTTTGCTCCAATACGCTTCCAGTTTTTACTTCTACCCGTTGCTTCCAGTGTTTATCTCTCAACCCCAACTGTCTGCTTCCGTTGCTTCCGTATCCCCCCTCCCCTCATTCCCCACCCCACCCTCACTATGACCCTCCATCCCTATCATTATCCACTTAACTGCAAGCAAGCAGGTCGGTTGGAACCTGGATGGGTTTTATTATCCCGCAGTGAATAAGCTCCCTCATCATTCTTCCCCGTCGCATGAACTGCCCCCTCCCACCTCATCACTCCCCCTCTCTCCATCATTCCTCAGGCATCTTGAAGACAACAGGCTGGTGGGGTTCATCCCTCCGTCTATGGGCTTGCTCACCCGCCTCACCACCATGTCAGTCAGTTCCGTCAGTCAGTCACATCTGTCAGAATATTATCTTATTGTTCTAGCCTGTAGTGGGGTGCTCTATAGCGAGTACAACCCTTCTAGGGTTTGCTATTTGTATCCTCATTCTTGCTAGTTCAATCCTCTTTCTTTCTGTAACTTTGACATGCTATCAGAGCAGGTCGATCCCCTTGGATCGATCCTGTGGGTGTGTCCCCACCTTGCTTCCGCTGCTACCTTTCCTTCCCGCCGTGCGCCCCGAGGCGCGCGGCGATTTTTTTTTCCTTCCCGCCGTGCGCCCCGAGGCGCGCGGCGGTTTTCTGCCCGCCGTGCGCCCTAGGGCGCGCGGCGGTTCTTTGCCCGCTGTGCGCCCCGAGGCGTGCGGCGGGCGTCTGCTCTACGTCGCGGCCCCGCCCTACGTCGGGCTTCTCCCCTACGTCGCGGCCCCGCCCTTCGTCGCGGCCCCGCCCCTCGACGCGGCCCCGCCCTATGTCGCGGCCCCGCCCTGCGTCGCGGCCCCGCCCCTCGAAGCGGCCCTGCCCCGACCGTCGCGGCCCCGCCCCACCTTCGCGGGCGTCTGCCCTACGTCGCGGCCCCGCCCCGACCGACACGGCCCCGCCCTTGTCGCGGCCCCGCCCTACAGTCGCGGCCCCGCCCTACAGTCGCGGCTCCGCCCTACGTCGCGGCTCCGCCCTGCGTCGCGGCCCCGTCCCTTCGAAGCGGCCCCGCCCCTTGTCGCGGCCCCGCTCTCCTCTCAGGTCCGTCGTGGGCCCCACTCTCCCCCCCCCCCCCCCCCCTCCCTCCCCCTACCATTTCCCGTCGCCCGTCGCGGCTCCTTCGGGGGCCGCTGTGGGGTGGCGGGTATGGGGGTGGCCGGTGTGCCTTCCTCCCTTTCTGCTCCTCCTCCTTCGTCTCCCACTGCTGCAGCTGTCGCTGAGGGGGGTGGTTGTGTGGGAGACTGGGTTTAGGGTTTTAGGGGGGTGCGTGGGAGTAGAGCTAGTGGTGTAGCAGTGGGTGTGTATCAGGGGGGTGGGACTGTGTGCGGGAGGATGAGCGGAGGTTGCCAGTTTGTCGTCAGCAGCACCTGTAGTCCGGGGCGCTGTCCCGGTAGCCCAGTCGTAGCCAGCTGTGCCAGCCGCCCGTGGGTCCGTTGCCCGTCCGCCGCTATTTGAGCCGCGGGGCCTGTTACCCCTGTAGTCCGGGCGCTGTCCGGTAGCCGCTGTGCCAGTCTGCCTCCTGTTGCCCGTGTGTCTGCAGCTTCAGCCGTCGCCTCCTGTCTCCTCTCCCCTCACTCTCCCTCCTCCTCCTCACTTGCCCGTTGTGACTACCACTAGCTTTGCTTATAATTGTAAACTCTAAACTATTTCTTCTTGAACTTGTGCTCAGAATGTGTGGTGACATTGTGATCCACCCTGAGCTTGTTTTGCTTTGCCTGCTCTGCTGATTACACCCCACTTTGGCTATGGGGGTGTGTCAGAATATTATCTTATTGTTCTAGCCTGTAGTGGGGTGCTCTATAGCGAGTACAACCCTTCTAGGGTTTGCTATTTGTATCCTCATTCTTGCTAGTTCAATCCTCTTTCTTTCTGTAACTTTGACAACATCACGCACATACTTCATTGGATTTTTATTTTCTAACTTACAGTAGTTTCTCACGTCGTGTCATTGCACGAGTGTGAGCTCCTCACGTTAGTATTATGTACTGTGGCTCACACAGGAGAATGAGCGGGCTTGCTGAACCGCCGTATCTCCCTGTGGATGGGTGAGTGTGCTGCCATGCACACATTCATGCCGAGTGTCTCGTTTTGCCACGATTTCTGCAGCAACCGAGCCATCAATTCTGGGCCTAGAATACCCCAACAGCCGCTGTAGCAACACGCTTTAGCATTGAATGGATTTCAGTTAACCAGCAACACTACTGACGATATATATTTCCACATTTTGTACTCAACCTTAAGAACGTGACATTGCTTGTTTCCATTGATGCTCTCTTGTTTCCATCGATGCTCGGCCTCTTGTTTCCACTGATTTGCGATCTCCTGATTTCACTGATTCACGATCTCTTATTTCCACTGATGATGATCTCTCGCTCTTCGCAGGGTACTTACAAGGAACCAGCTCTATGGATCCTTCTTACCAGCATTCAAAGACTTCACAGACCTACAGTATCTGTGAGTTGCAAGCAAGCAAGCTATCCGTGCCATCCGTTCCGTATCTCATCGTCCTTCTTGTCTCAAATTCTTCTCCTGATTCAGATGATTTAGAACCAGAGAAGAAGTATGAGTCATGGCTCAGCTCCGGCTCAGCATAACTCTGCGCATGCTCGGTCGTTGTACCAGTCATTGAAATCGGAGCATTTGTTTCTGTGTTTAGGTTCGCTGCAAGTCAAATGCGCGAACCCGCTGGGATGGGATGCAAGCCGCTTCGCGCATCTCGCTGTGTGAACACGCACACGCTGCTGCCGCTGCAAGCCAGGCCGGCTGCAACTCTCACTTGCGCGGCTTATCGATGCCCGGGGCGAGTTGACCTTTGAGTCAACCCAAAAGTCAACTGTGAGGCGAGCCGACTCTGGCTGTTACTTGCAGGGCTCACTCATTGATGCCAGGCCGGCACGATATCAGATCAGTTCACCCTGGTCGAGCCAACTGCAGACCGTGCAGCAGAGGGGTTGCTGCTGGCCGTGCAGCAAAGACGTTAGTGTTCCACACCGTGCGCGTGGGCGGGAGTGAGTGTCTTTTGTTTCAGTAGATCGAAGCAAAGGCTAGAGCAAAGGAGAGCAGAGGTAGGCAGCAAGCCTATGCTGGATGCCCCCGCCAAGCTCGCCTGTGTGTGCGTGCGTGCCGCACCACAGTGTGCGCTCATCTCTGCGGTGCTGCCTCGCCAGTGCATACTTAGCATTAGCAGTACCACTGCTGCAGCAGCAATGATGTGTGCGCACGAGCCACCTTCCACTGCGCACGAGCCACCTTCCACTGCGCACGAGCCACCTTCCACTGCGCACGAGCCACCTTCCACTGCGCACGAGCCACCTTCCACTGCGCACGAGCCACCTTCCACTGCGCACGAGCCACCTTCCACTGCGCACGAGCCACCTTCCACTGCGCACGAGCCACCTTCCACTGCGCACGAGCCACCTTCCACTGCGCACGAGCCACCTTCCACTGCGCACGAGCCACCTTCCACTGCGCACGAGCCACCTTCCACTGCGCACGAGCCACCTTCCACTGCGCACGAGCCACCTTCCACTGCGCACGAGCCACCTTCCACTGCGCACGAGCCACCTTCCACTGCGCACGAGCCACCTTCCACTGCGCACGAGCCACCTTCCACTGCGCACGAGCCACCTTCCACTGCGCACGAGCCACCTTCCACTGCGCACGAGCCACCTTCCACTGCGCACGAGCCACCTTCCACTGCGCACGAGCCACCTTCCACTGCGCACGAGCCACCTTCCACTGCGCACGAGCCACCTTCCACTGCGCACGAGCCACCTTCCACTGCGCACGAGCCACCTTCCACTGCGCACGAGCCACCTTCCACTGCGCACGAGCCACCTTCCACTGCGCACGAGCCACCTTCCACTGCGCACGAGCCACCTTCCACTGCGCACGAGCCACCTTCCACTGCGCACGAGCCACCTTCCACTGCGCACGAGCCACCTTCCACTGCGCACGAGCCACCTTCCACTGCGCACGAGCCACCTTCCACTGCGCACGGGAGCCACCTTCCACTGCGCACGAGCCACCTTCCACTGCGCACGAGCCACCTTCCACTGCGCACGAGCCACCTTCCACTGCGCACGAGCCACCTTCCACTGCGCACGAGCCACCTTCCACTGCGCACGAGCCACCTTCCACTGCGCACGAGCCACCTTCCACTGCGCACGAGCCACCTTCCACTGCGCACGAGCCACCTTCCACTGCGCACGAGCCACCTTCCACTGCGCACAGAGCCACCTTCCACTGCGCACGAGCCACCTTCCACTGCGCACGAGCCACCTTCCACTGCGCACGAGCCACCTTTCCACTGCGCACGAGCCACCTTCCACTGCGCACGAGCCACCTTCCACTGCGCACGAGCCACCTTCCACTGCGCACACGAGCCACCTTCCACTGCGCACGAGCCACCTTCCACTGCGCACGAGCCACCTTCCACTGCGCACGAGCCACCTTCCACTGCGCACGAGCCACCTTCCACTGCGCACGAGCCACCTTCCACTGCGCACGAGCCACCTTCCACTGCGCACGAGCCACCTTCCACTGCGCACGAGCCACCTTCCACTGCGCACGAGCCACCTTCCACTGCGCACGAGCCACCCTTCCACTGCGCACGAGCCACCTTCCACTGCGCACGAGCCACCTTCCACTGCGCACGAGCCACCTTCCACTGCGCACGAGCCACCTTCCACTGCGCACGAGCCACCTTCCACTGCGCACGAGCCACCTTCCACTGCGCACGAGCCACCTTCCACTGCGCACGAGCACGAGCCACCTTCCACTGCGCACGAGCCACCTTCCACTGCGCTACGAGCCACCTTCCACTGCGCACGAGCCACCTTCCACTGCGCACGAGCCACCTTTCCACTGCGCACGAGCCACCTTCCACTGCGCACGAGCCACCTTCCACTGCGCACGAGCCACCTTCCACTGCGCACGAGCCACCTCCACTGCGCACGAGCCACCTTCCACTGCGCACGAGCCACCTTCCACTGCGCACGAGCCACCTTCCACTGCGCACGAGCCACCTTCCACTGCGCACGAGCCACCTTCCACTGCGCACGAGCCACCTTCCACTGCGCACGAGCCACCTTCCACTGCGCACGAGCCACCTTCCACTGCGCACGAGCCACCTTCCACTGCGCACGAGCCACCTTCCACTGCGCACGAGCCACCTTCCACTGCGCACGAGCCACCTTCCACTGCGCACGAGCCACCTTCCACTGCGCACGAGCCACCTTCCACTGCGCACGAGCCACCTTCCACTGCGCACGAGCCACCTTCCACTGCGCACGAGCCACCTTCCACTGCGCACGAGCCACCTTCCACTGCGCACGAGCCACCTTCCACTGCGCACGAGCCACCTTCCACTGCGCACGAGCCACCTTCCACTGCGCACGAGCCACCTTCCACTGCGCACGAGCCACCTTCCACTGCGCACGAGCCACCTTCCACTGCGCACGAGCCACCTTCCACTGCGCACGAGCCACCTTCCACTGCGCACGAGCCACCTTCCACTGCGCACGAGCCACCTTCCACTGCGCACGAGCCACCTTCCACTGCGCACGAGCCACCTTCCACTGCGCACGAGCCACCTTCCACTGCGCACGAGCCACCTTCCACTGCGCACGAGCCACCTTCCACTGCGCACGAGCCACCTTCCACTGCGCACGAGCCACCTTCCACTGCGCACGAGCCACCTTCCACTGCGCACGAGCCACCTTCCACTGCGCACGAGCCACCTTCCACTGCGCACGAGCCACCTTCCACTGCGCACGAGCCACCTTCCACTGCGCACGAGCCACCTTCCACTGCGCACGAGCCACCTTCCACTGCGCACGAGCCACCTTCCACTGCGCACGAGCCACCTTCCACTGCGCACGAGCCACCTTCCACTGCGCACGAGCCACCTTCCACTGCGCACGAGCCACCTTCCACTGCGCACGAGCCACCTTCCACTGCGCACGAGCCACCTTCCACTGCGCACGAGCCACCTTCCACTGCGCACGAGCCACCTTCCACTGCGCACGAGCCACCTTCCACTGCGCACGAGCCACCTTCCACTGCGCACGAGCCACCTTCCACTGCGCCACGAGCCACCTTCCACTGCGCACGAGCCACCTTCCACTGCGCACGAGCCACCTTCCACTGCGCACGAGCCACCTTCCACTGCGCACGAGCCACCTTCCACTGCGCACGAGCCACCTTCCACTGCGCACGAGCCACCTTCCACTGCGCACGAGCCACCTTCCACTGCGCACGAGCCACCTTCCACTGCGCACGAGCCACCTTCCACTGCGCACGAGCCACCTTCCACTGCGCACGAGCCACCTTCCACTGCGCACGAGCCACCTTCCACTGCGCATCGAGCCACCTTCCACTGCGTCCACGAGCCACCTTCCACTTGCGCTACGAGCCACCCTTCCACTGCGCCACGAGCCACTTCCACTGCGCACGAGCCACACCTTCCACTGCGCACGAGCCACCCTTCCACTGCGCCCGAGCCACCTTCCAACTTGCACGAGCCACCTTCCACTGCGTCAGAGCCACCTTTCCACTGCGCACGAGCCACCTTCCACTGCGCACACGACGCCACCTTACCACTGCGCACGAGCCACCCTTTCCACTGCGCACGAGCCACCTTCCAACTGTGCACCGAGCCACCTTCACTGCGCACGAGCCACCTTCCACTGCGCACGAGCCACCTTCCACTGCGCACGAGCCACCTTCCACTCGCGCACGAGCCACCTTCCACTGCGCACGAGCCACCTTCCACTGCGCACGAGCCACCTTCCACTGCGCACGAGCCACCTTCCACTGCGCACGAGCCACCTTCCACTGCGGCACGAGCCACCTTCCACTGCGCACGAGCCCACCTTCCACTGCGCACGAGCCACCTTCCACTGCGCACGAGCCACCTTCCACTGCGCACGAGCCACCTTCCACTGCGCACGAGCCACCTTCCACTGCGCCGAGCCACCTTCCACTGCGCACGAGCCACCTTCCACTGCGCACGAGCCACCTTCCACTGCGCAAGAGCCACCTTCCACTGCGCACGAGCCACCTTCCCACTGCGCACGAGCCACCTTCCACTGCGCACGTAGCCACCTTCCACTGCGCACGAGCCACCTTCCACTGCGCACGAGCCACCTTCCACTGCGCACGAGCCACCTTCCACTGCGCACGAGCCACCTTCCACTGCGCACCGGAGCCACCTTCCACTGCGCACGAGCCACCTTCCACTGCGCCACGAGCCACCTTCCACTGCGCACGAGCCACCTTCCACTGCGCACGAGCACCTTCCACTGCGCACGAGCCACCTTCCACTTGCGCACGAGCCACCTTCCACTGCGCACGAGCCACCTCCACTGCGCACGAGCCACCTTCCACTGCGCACTGGCGAGCCACCTTCCACTGCGCACGAGCCACCCCTTCCACTGCGCACCGAGCCACCTTCCACTGCGCCGAGCCACCTTCCACTGCGCACGAGCCACCTTCCACTGCGCACGAGCCACCTTCCACTGCGCACGAGCCACCTTCCACTGCGCCACGAGCCACCTTCCACTCGCGCACGAGCCCACCTTCCACTTGCGCACGAGCCACCTTCCCACTGCGCCACGAGCCACCTTCCACTGACGCAGAGCCACCTCCATGGCCACGAGACCACCTTCCACTGCGCACGAGCCACCTTCCACTGCGCACTGAGCCACCTTCCACTGCAGACACGAGCCACCTTTCCACTGCGCACGAGCCACCTTCCAACTGCGCACGAGCCACCTTTCCACTGCGCACGAGACACCTTCCCTGCGCACAGCCAACTTTCCACTGCGGCACGAGCCACCTCCACTGCGCTACGAGCCACCTTCCACTGCGCCACGAGCCACCTTCCACTGCGCACGAAGCCACTTTCCCACTTGCGCCTACGGAGCCACCTTCCACTGCGCAACGAGCCCACCTTTTCCACCTGGCGGCACGAGCCACCTTCCCACTGCGGCACCTTCCACTGCGGAGCCACCTTTCCACTGCGCACGAGCCACCTTCCACTGCGCCACGACCGCCACCTTCCACTGCGCAACCGAGGCCACCTTCCACTGCGCACGAGCCACCTTCCCACTGCGCACCGAGCCACCTTCCACTGCGCACGAGCCACCTTCCACTGCGCCGAGCCCACCTTCCACTGCGCACGAGCCACCTTCCACTGCGCACGAGCCACCTTCCACTGCGCACGAGCCACCTTCCACTGCGCACGAGCCACCTTCCACTGCGCACGAGCCACCTTCCACTGCGCACGAGCCACCTTCCACTGCGCACGAGCCACCTTCCACTGCGCACGAGCCACCTTCCACTGCGCACGAGCCACCTTCCACTGCGCACGAGCCACCTTCCACTGGCACGAGCCACCTTCCACTGCGCACGAGCCACCTTCCACTGCGCACGAGCCACCTTCCACTGCGCACGAGCCACCTTCCACTGCGCACGAGCCACCTTCCACTGCGCACGAGCCACCTTCCACTGCGCTACGAGCCACCTTCCACTGCGCACGAGCCACCTTCCACTGCGCACGAGCCACCTTCCACTGCGCACGAGCCACCTTCCACTGCGCCACGAGCCACCTTCCACTGCGCACGAGCCACCTTCCACTGCGCACGAGCCACCTTCCACTGCGCACGAGCCACCTTCCACTGCGCACGAGCCACCTTCCACTGCGCACGAGCCACCTTCCACTGCGCACGAGCCACCTTCCACTGCGCACGAGCCACCTTCCACTGCGCACGAGCCACCTTCCACTGCGCACGAGCCACCTTCCACTGCGCACGAGCCACCTTCCACTGCGCACGAGCCACCTTCCACTGCGCACGAGCCACCTTCCACTGCGCACGAGCCACCTTCCACTGCGCACGAGCCACCTTCCACTGCGCACGAGCCACCTTCCACTGCGCACGAGCCACCTTCCACTGCGCACGAGCCACCTTCCACTGCGCACGAGCCACCTTCCACTGCGCACGAGCCACCTTCCACTGCGCACGAGCCACCTTCCACTGCGCACGAGCCACCTTCCACTGCGCACGAGCCACCTTCCACTGCGCACGAGCCACCTTCCACTGCGCACGAGCCACCTTCCACTGCGCACGAGCCACCTTCCACTGCGCACGAGCCACCTTCCCTTCCACTGCGCACGAGCCACCTTCCACTGCGCACGAGCCACCTTCCACTGCGCACGAGCCACCTTCCACTGCGCACAGGAGCCACCTTCCCACTGCGCACGAGCCACCTTCCACTTGCGCACGAGCCACCTTCCACTGCGCACGCAGCCACCTTCCACTGCGCACGACCGAGCCACCTTCCACTGCGCACGAGCCACCTTCCACTGCGCACGAGCCACCTTCCACTGCGCACGAGCCACCTTCCACTGCGCACGAGCCACCTTCCACTGCGCACGAGCCACCTTCCTTCCACTGCGCACGAGCCACCTTCCACTGCGCACGAGCCACCTTCCACTGCGCACGAGCCACCTTCCACTGCGCACGAGCCACCTTCCACTGCGCACGAGCCACCTTCCACTGCGCACGAGCCACCTTCCACTGCGCACGAGCCACCTTCCACTGCGCACGAGCCACCTTCCACTGCGCACGAGCCACCTTCCACTGCGCACGAGCCACCTTCCACTGCGCACGAGCCACCTTCCACTGCGCACGAGCCACCTTCCACTGCGCACGAGCCACCTTCCACTGCGCACGAGCCACCTTCCACTGCGCACGAGCCACCTTCCACTGCGCACGAGCCACCTTCCACTGCGCACGAGCCACCTTCCACTGCGCACGAGCCACCTTCCACTGCGCACGAGCCACCTTCCACTGCGCACGAGCCACCTTCCACTGCGCACGAGCCACCTTCCACTGCGCACGAGCCACCTTCCACTGCGCCACGAGCCACCTTCCACTGCGCACGAGCCACCTTCCACTGCGCACGAGCCACCTTCCACTGCGCACGAGCCACCTTCCACTGCTGCACGAGCACCTTCCACTGCGCACGAGCCACCTTCCACTGCGCCACGAGCCACCTTCCACTGCGCACGAGCCACTTCCACTGCGCACGAGCCACCTTCCACTGCGCAAGAGCCACCTTCCACTGCGCACGAGCCACCTTCCACTGCGCACGAGCCACCTTCACTGCGCCACGAGCCACCTTCCACTGCGCACGAGCCACCTTCCACTGGCCACGAGCCACCTTCCACTGCGCCCACGAGCCACCTTCCACTGCGCACGGAGGCCACCTTCCACTGCGCACGAGCCACCTTCCACTGCGCACGAGCCACCTTCCACTGCGCACGAGCCACCTTCCACTGCGCACGAGCCACCTTCCACTGCTGCACAGTAGCGCCACCTTCCACTGCGCACGAGCCACCTTCCACTGCGCACGAGCCACCTTCCACTGCGCACGAGCCACCTTCCACTGCCGCACGAGCCACCTTCCACTGCGCACGAGCCACCTTCCACTGCGCACGAGCCACCTTCCACTGCGCACGAGCCACCTTCCACTGCGCACGAGCCACCTTCCACTGCGCACGAGCCACCTTCCACTGCGCACGAGCCACCTTCCACTGCGCACGAGCCACCTTCCACTGCGCACGAGCCACCTTCCACTGCGCACGAGCCACCTTCCACTGCGCACGAGCCACCTTCCACTGCGCACGAGCCACCTTCCACTGCGCACGAGCCACCTTCCACTGCGCACGAGCCACCTTCCACTGCGCACGAGCCACCTTCCACTGCGCACGAGCCACCTTCCACTGCGCACGAGCCACCTTCCACTGCGCACGAGCCACCTTCCACTGCGCACGAGCCACCTTCCACTGCGCACGAGCCACCTTCCACTGCGCACGAGCCACCTTCACTGCGCACGAGCCACCTTCCACTGCGCACGAGCCACCTTCCACTGCGCACGAGCCACCTTCCACTGCGCACGAGCCACCTTCCACTGCGCACGAGCCACCTTCCACTTCCACTGCGCACAGAGCCACCCTTCCACTGCGCACGAGCCACCTTCCACTGCGCACGAGCCACCTTCCACTGCGCACGAGCCACCTTCCACTGCGCACGAGCCACCTTCCACTGCGCACGAGCCACCTTCCACTGCGGCACGAGCCACCTTCCACTGCGCACGAGCCACCTTCCATGCGCACGAGCCACCTTCCACTGCGCACGAGCCACCTTCCACTGCGCACGAGCCACCTTCCACTGCGCACGAGCCACCTTCCACTGCGCACGAGCCACCTTCCACTGCGCACGAGCCACCTTCCACTGCGCACGAGCCACCTTCCACTGCGCACGAGCCACCTTCCACTGCGCACGAGCCACCTTCCACTGCGCACGAGCCACCTTCCACTGCGCACGAGCCACCTTCCACTGCGCACGAGCCACCTTCCACTGCGCACGAGCCACCTTCCACTGCGCACGAGCCACCTTCCACTGCGCTACGAGCCACCTTCCACTGCGCACGAGCCACCTTCCACTGCGCACGAGCCACCTTCCACTGCGCACGAGCCACCTTCCACTGCGCACGAGCCACCTTCCACTGCGCACGAGCCACCTTCCACTGCGCACGAGCCACCTTCCACTGCGCACGAGCCACCTTCCACTGCGCACGAGCCACCTTCCACTGCGCACGAGCCACCTTCCACTGCGCACGAGCCACCTTCCACTGCGCACGAGCCACCTTCCACTGCGCACGAGCCACCTTCCACTGCGCACGAGCCACCTTCCACTGCGCACGAGCCACCTTCCACTGCGCACGAGCCACCTTCCACTGCGCACGAGCCACCTTCCACTGCGCACGAGCCACCTTCCACTGCGCACGAGCCACCTTCCACTGCGCACGAGCCACCTTCCACTGCGCACGAGCCACCTTCCACTGCGCACGAGCCACCTTCCACTGCGCACGAGCCACCTTCCACTGCGCACGAGCCACCTTCCACTGCGCACGAGCCACCTTCCACTGCGCACGAGCCACCTTCCACTGCGCACGAGCCACCTTCCACTGCGCACGAGCCACCTTCCACTGCGCACGAGCCACCTTCCACTGCGCACGAGCCACCTTCCACTGCGCACGAGCCACCTTCCACTGCGCACGAGCCACCTTCCACTGCGCACGAGCCACCTTCCACTGCGCACGAGCCACCTTCCACTGCGCACGAGCCACCTTCCACTGCGCACGAGCCACCTTCCACTGCGCACGAGCCACCTTCCACTGCGCACGAGCCACCTTCCACTGCGCACGAGCCACCTTCCACTGCGCACGAGCCACCTTCCACTGCGCACGAGCCACCTTCCACTGCGCACGAGCCACCTTCCACTGCGCACGAGCCACCTTCCACTGCGCACGAGCCACCTTCCACTGCGCACGAGCCACCTTCCACTGCGCACGAGCCACCTTCCACTGCGCACGAGCCACCTTCCACTGCGCACGAGCCACCTTCCACTGCGCACGAGCCACCTTCCACTGCGCACGAGCCACCTTCCACTGCGCACGGCCACCTTTCCACTGCGCACGAGCCACCTTCCACTGCGCACGGAGCCACCTTCCACTGCGCTAAGAGCCACCTTCCACTGCGCACGAGCCACCTTCCACTGCGCCACGAGCCACCTTCCACTGCGCACGAGCCACCTTCCACTGCGCACGAGCCACCTTCCACTGCGCAAGAGCCACCTTCCACTGCGCACGAGCCACCTTCCACTGCGCACGAGCCACCTTCCACTGCGCACGAGCCACCTTCCACTGCGCACGGAGCACTTCCACTGCGACACGAGCCAACCTTCCACTGCGCACGAGCCACCTTCCACTGCGCACGAGCCACCTTCCACTGCGCACGAGCCACCTTCCACTGCGCACGAGCCACCTTCCACTGCGCATACGAGCCACCTTCCACTGCGCACACCACCTTCCACTGCGCACGAGCCACCTTCCACTGCGCACGAGCCACCTTCCACTGCGCACGAGCCACCTTCCACTTCGCACGAGCCACCTTCCACTGCGCAACGAGCCACCTTCCACTGCGCCTACGAAGCCACCTTCCACTGCGCACGAGCCACCTTCCACTGCGCACGAGCCACCTTCCACTGCGCACGAGCCACCTTCCACTGCGCACGAGCCACCTTCCACTGCGCACGAGCCACCTTCCACTGCGCACGAGCCCCTTTCCACTGCGCTACGAGCCACCTTCCACTGCGCCACGAGCCACCTTCCACTGCGCACGAGCCACCTTCCACTGCGCACGAGCCACCTCTCACTGCGCACGAGCCACCTTCCACTGCGCACGAGCCAACTTTCCACTGCGCACGAGCCACCTTCCACTGCGCACGAGCCACCTCTCCACTGCGCACGAGCCACCTTCCACTGCGCACGAGCCACCTTCCACTGCGCACGGAGCCACCTTCCACTGCGCACGAGCCACCCTTCCACTGCGCACGAGCCACCTTCCACTGCGCACGAGCCACCTTCCACTGCGCAGGGACGAGCACCTTCCACTGCGCACGAGCCACCTTCCACTGCGCACGAGCCACCTTCCACTGCGCACGAGCCACCTTCCACTGCGCACGAGCCACCTTCCACTGCGCACGAGCCACCTTCCACTGCGCTACGAGCCACCTTCCACTGCGCCACGAGCCACCTTCCACTGCGCACGAGCCACCCTTCCACTGCGCACGAGCCACCTTCCACTGCGCACGAGCCACCTTCCACTGCGCACGAGCCACCTTCCACTGCGCACGAGCCACCTTCCACTGCGCACGAGCCACCTTCCACTGCGCACGAGCCACCTTCCACTGCGCACGAGCCACCTTCCACTGCGCACGAGCCACCTTCCACTGCGCACGAGCCACCTTCCACTGCGCACGAGCCACCTTCCACTGCGCACGAGCCACCTTCCACTGCGCACGAGCCACCTTCCACTGCGAACGGCAATAATAGAGTCTTCAAATTGAAGTGGCTGGTTGAGCGCCCAGCCCAGGAGGAGAGTGCTGTGTTTTCTGGCGTAATTCTGGAAAGTCTATCCAAAGGAGGTGGAGAGAGATGAGGCTACCGTAAGGGGTGGCAGACAAGGTGGGAGGGAGGGAGTCGTATGGTATCTTGCATGGCATTGGGTATCTGATGGAATGACCGAGGGGGTTGGATCCTTGTGTCACTTTTGAGAGACGTGGCTGGTAAAAGTCAGTCCACACGTGGCTCCACTCCACTGCCTGAACAGTCACTATTTGCATGTATGCATTGCCGTCAATTCATGGCTAGTTAGTTGGTTGGTTGGTTGGTTGGTTGGTTAGTTGGCTGGTTGGTTGGTTGGTTGTTTGGTGCGTGAAAGTCGCACGGTGCACATTTGTGGGCAGCACTCGTGGATGGACTAGAATCTTCAGCACTTGGTGGCTGGCATCACTTATTTCTAGCTCTCTTATTTAGAGGGGAGGATGGGAAGATGAGAAGGGATAATGGTTTGATGCTGGAGCATTTGAATGACGTTCGTCATACGATTCTGTGGTTATGATTTAGTTCACTGTCCATCCTGACCTTACCCCAACTTCAATCATTTGAGGTTATATGCTTGATTGAGACGGTATTGTTGGGATTGCTGTTCTTCTTTGACTCTGTGTGTGAGTTGAATCTACTCTATGCACCACTTATGTGGCGCCTCAATGGATGTATGCACGCACCTGATGCGAAAACTGAACTCTTGAAGTGAGGGAACTTCGTTTTGTGGAGCCTCTCCTACGTTCTTCACATTTCTGCTTGTGCTTCCTCTTTTGTCTTCTATCTCTCACCCTCTCCTCCACGGCAGTCTGTCTTCTTCCCAACCATCATTAGACCGTTCACCTTGTACCCTTTGTTATCCTTCAGGTACCTGGATGACAACCAGTTCACAGGAGGAGTATTCGACGTTTCTGGCCTAACCAAGCTGGTTATCTTGTCAGTTCTTACATTCCTTGTGTGTGATTGGCTATTGTATTATTATGATTGTTGTTGTTGCTGCTGCTGCTGCTGCTAATGTTGTTGTTAGTACTGTTATCATCATCTTCATCATCATCATCATCATCATCATCATCATCATCATCATCATCATCATCATCATCATCATCATCATCATCATCATCATCATCATCATCATCATCATCATCATCATCATCATCACCATCATCATCAACAACAACAACACCTGCACCACCACCACCACCACCACCACCACCACCACCACCACCACCACCACCACCACCACCACCACCACCACCACCACCACCACCACCACCACCACCACCACCACCACCACCACCACCACCACCACCACCACCACCACCACCACCACCACCACCACCACCACCACCACCACCACCACCACCACCACCACCACCACCACCACCACCACCACCATCATCATCATCATCATCATCATCATCATCATCATCATCATCATCATCATCATCATCATCACATCATCATCATCTTCGTCGTTGTCGTCGTCAATAATTTTAATGTTAATAACAACAAACAACGATAATGACATAGCAATAACAACAACAATAATATTAGTAATAACAATAGTCATAATAATAGCAGCAATATTAATATAATAATTGGCCTGTTGCAAGAAAACCCTGTTTGTTGCGATTTGTCACTTTCGCAACACTACTTCTCTCAGTCCTCGTTCTCCTTTCTTCCCTACTATTACAACACCATACCCTGCGTCCCGCATGTTGCAGGAATCTCCAGCGCAACAGCCTAACAGGTCCCGTTCCTGCATCCCTTAGCCGGTTAAGCGAACTGCGTTACCTGTGAGTGCGATCAAGCAGTCTGGCATCCATCATACCATCCATCATATCATCCATCATATTGTGTGAGCATCCCATGGCATTGCATGGCATTTCATGGCCTAACATGGCATCCCATGGCACTTCGTGGCATTTCAAGGCACTTCAGGCATACATGGCAGTTCATGGCACTTCATGGCACCCCATGGCATGTCATAACATTTCAGTCCCGTACATGCTGTTGTTTATTACACCTTAAGTTGGGGTTTGCTCTGCTGTTCATTCATAGACTGCAGCTGCTGCCATGCCATTCCCGTTAACACAAGTGCTGCTCATGACTAAACCCGGATGCACATGTTCCCTACTACCTAGCTTCATTTGTTGGGCTCGGATTTTGACTTTTGACTGTGTTGCGTTGCCCCACCAGTGAAGCTGTTCTTTTACAGTTCTGTTCTCACAGCCTCATTCATGTCATGACAAGACATTTCCTTCATATCATATGACCCTGTCCATCATATATTTTCCACCCTCCAGTTACTTAAGCCACAACCAACTCTCTGGAACAATTCCTGACATATTCGCGCCGCTCACCAAGTTATATAACCTGTATGTATGAATCACGCATTGTATTTCTTTCTTTCTTTTCTTTCTTTCCTTCTTTCTTTCTTTCTTTCTTTCTTTCTTTCTTTCTTTCTTTCTTTCTTTCTTTCTTTCTTTCTTTCTTTCTTTCTTTCGTTTTTTCTTTCTTTGCAAAGTTGTTCGTTTTCCATCATTTGAAAGGTTGAGACCCTTCAAAAGGTTATACAAGCATACCCCTTGTTCGGTTCTCCTCATCCCTCACTTGCAATGTTCTTCCAACCGTCCAGGTGCTGCTTCCTTACTCCCTCAGTCGCCCTCCCACCTTATGTCATCACCCTGCCTCCATCCATCACCCTTCAGGCAATTCCAAAAGAACAGGCTCCTAGGACCGATTCCGACCTCCATTGGCTTGCTAACTGAGCTGAGAGTGCTGTGAGCACCTTCACTTAATCACTCACTCACTCACTCACCCACTTCTCTCCTTACCACGGCTTTCATCTCATTATTTGCCTCCTCTTTTCTCTCCTCAGATCCCCTGTTCCCATTCATTGGCTCAATTACACTCCTCTGTTTCTGGATTAATCCTGCTGAAGAGTTCACTGTTCCATTTCAAACCACGATCATCCTTCAGGTACCTGGAAAACAACCGTCTTTCTGGAACTATTCCCGATCTCTTCACTACCCTCACCAATATGGACCTAATGTAATGATACACTTTGTTGTCGGCGTCAGTGTGTGTGTGTGTGTGTGTGTGTGTGTGTGTGTGTGTGTGTGTGTGTGTGTGTGTGTGTGTGTGTGTGTGTGTGTGTGTGTGTGTGTGTGTGTGTGTGTGTGTGTGTGTGTGTGTGTGTGTGCGCGCGCGCGCGTGCGTGCGTGCGTGCGTGCGTTGTGTTTTTTGTAAGGCATCTACCCCGTCACTAAGAGAATACATTTCCATCATCAACAACAACCGAGACAAGAGATGGCTTTTGAGGCTCCTAAAGATGTCCAGTGCATGGCCTCCAGTGCCATATCGAACCATTCACTGCATCCAGTCACCCCTCATCCAGTCACCCCTCATCCAGTCACCCCTCATCCAGTCACCCCTCATCCAGTCACCCCTCATCCAGTCACCCCTCATCCAGTCACCCCTCATCCAGTCACCCCTCATCCAGTCACCCCTCATCCAGTCACCCCTCATCCAGTCACCCCTCATCCAGTCACCCCTCATCCAGTCACCCCTCATCCAGTCACCCCTCATCCAGTCACCCCTCATCCAGTCACCCCTCATCCAGTCACCCCTCATCCAGTCACCCCTCATCCAGTCACCCCTCATCCAGTCACCCCTCATCCAGTCACCCCTCATCCAGTCACCCCTCATCCAGTCACCCCTCATCCAGTCACCCCTCATCCAGTCACCCCTCATCCAGTCACCTCTCATCCAGTCACCCCTCATCCAGTCACCTCTCGTCCAGTTTCCCTTCATCAGTTGTGCTAACTACACACATCTGCTTATGAACTGAGAATAACCTTTTTAACGGCCAGCTGAAGGTTCGGTTCGTGAATAGAACAAGGTTGTATACTCTGTAACTCACAGGTGAAATAGGTGAGCACATGCATATATCCTCTCCTCTCCTCACATCTCTTCTCCCTCTCATATCCGCATCGCTCCTCTCCATCTCACTTCCGATAACCATTTCCCTTTAGTCGCCTAGTGCCTGCTCCAGTCGCCTAGTGCCTGCTCCAGTCGCCTAGTGCCTGCTCCAGTCGCCTAGTGCCTGCTCCAGTCTCCTCCTCGTGCCTGCTCCAACTCTCAACCAGCCTTGGCTTCCCACGAGTCTCCTTTCCTTCCTCGTCCAATGATCATGAGGCGTTTAAACCATCCTGCTCGTAGCGAACCTTACCTACCTTCCTCTCTGTCTCCCATGTGTCCCCTTCGCCCTCCAACCAACCATCCACCCACAACCACCCTTCAGGTACTTAGGCAACAACCTTCTCTCTGGAACGATTCCTGATTTCTCTTCCCTCTCATACATTAATTTTCTGTAAGTCCCATACATGCATTCTTTGGTGTTTCTTCTTGTACTGTAGACCGCGATAAAGCCAGTTTTTCAGGCACGTCCAGAATAAATCCCATAGAGTTGCACGATCTCATGATCTCATTCAAACCCCCTGCAGACTCCAATTGCCTCCACCCCTGGTCCTCTTTTTACTCAACCCCTAAGCATCCACACCACTGCGTTTCTGCTCCTCATCTTCCCTTTCTCGTCCCCATTCTCTCTCCTACACTCCCATGCTTCAGGGATCTGAGCTACAACAGTCTAACAGGACCCATCCCTTCGTCCATTGGCAAGTTGAGCCAGCTATGCTACTTGTGAGTGCCGTCAACCAGTCACCCCTCTTGAGGCGCCTCAAAATTCATTGGCACATTGAAGCCAGCTATGCTGCTTGTGAGTGCCATGGACCTGTTAGCCCTCTGCTCATCTGTTAACACTCCACTCAATTCCATTGCCCGACATACTCCTGATACACTCTACGACACACCACGACCCTTGTTCTGTGTTCGTTCCTGATAAGACTCCATTGTTTCTCCTTGAATCTGCTTCTCCATAGTCTACTGCATTGTGCTCCCATTTTACCTACTCCCATTTTACCTCACACCATGCTTCCTCACACCATGGTTTCATTCAATGCGTGCACTCGAGTTTGTGCAGGGCACTCAAATGGAACAGCCTCACAGGGCCTATTCCCTATGCATTGCAGAGTCTTACCAACCTGCAGTATTTGTGAGTGCTTTCTCAGTCTCATAGTCACCTGACTGGATCGCATACTCTGCTTACCAACTGGCTCTATCTTTGAGTGCCCGTGGCAGCATTCGCTTTCCCCCCTCTCCTTTCACGCGTCATTGCTTGCCTCTCGCTCCTCCTTTTTTCGGCACCCCTTGTTTTCATCTTATGCCACCCCGTCTCGCATTCAATATTCTTCTCATTCTTGAGGCGCCTTAAAAGTCGTTCCAACCCTCTGTTCGCACTACCATCCCACCCACCCTCATCCTCCAGAGATTTGGTTTCCAACCAGTTCTCTGGAACTATCCCCGACTGGCTTACCTCCTTCCCCATTCTTATCATTCTGTACGCCTTGACTGGCTTACACTTTAACTTCAACATGCTTCTGAGTGAGGCTATTTTTCCTACGGTGCTCTGCGCTGCTACCCCGCACTCGAGGACCTCTGGTCCTCTGAATAAAAAAGGCACCCAAGAGAGAGAAGTTCCTCTTACAGTGCTGTGACCTGCTCTGTTCCCCTGCTCTTGAGGACCTCTGGAACTCTCCTCTGAATGAAAAGGCACCCAAGAGAGAGATAGTTTCCGCTTGCAGTGCTGTGACCTGTCAGAGTCAAGTCAAGTGCAGCAAGCAAGTTGGCCGGCCCTTCATTTCACCCTCGTTCGTACATCGGGATGAGAAAGGATGGATGGATACGTGCGAAAGACCGTCGTCGTTCGGAAGTTTTGTTGATTTCAAAAGCTAAAAAGGATGAGGAGACGGAGGGAAGGGAACTGTATGTCAGATGCTGTACAGCTCCTTACCCTTCCCTGTTCATTTCTGCTCACCACCATGGGTTACAGGATGGAACTTAGAACTCTGTCTATCTAGTGCTTATAAAGAAAGGAAAGTTGTTTCGATAACAAGGAGATTGAGACTGGGACTTGAGATGCCTCCCGTCACAGCCAGAATCAAATTTTGTTTTCCATTAAAGCTGGACAAATCCTCTGAACACCCACCGTGTTGAATAGAACCCAGCAAGCACAGATAAGGTGCATTGTACCAGCAACAACAACTCTCCCCTTCTGCCTATATCTCCTGTCATCACATCCCATTCTCTCTCTCTCAATCAAACAAATCTGTCTACATCATATATTGCACTCCACAAGCTCATTCAGTCATTCCCAATTCTTGTCCCTCCCTCCATCTTGCACGCTCCTGCTCCAGAGATTTGAGCTACAACAAATTCACAGGAACCATCCCTTCCTCCGTTGGCTCACTCAGTTTGCTTGAGGGCTTGTGAGTTTGCTTTGAGGGCTTGTGATTTGCTTTGAGGGCTTGGGATTTTGCTTTGAGGGCTTGTGATTTGCTTTGAGGGCTTGGGAGTTTGCTTTGAGGGCTTGTGATTTGCTTTGAGGGCTTGGGAGTTTGCTTTGAGGGCTTGGGAGTTTGCTTTGAGGGCTTGGGAGTTTGCTTTGAGGGCTTGGGAGTGCTCAGATCAGAGCAGTGCATGCAGGCAAGCCTTTGGCCTCAATTTCGATTCCACCACGTGACGTACACCGAACTCATCATCAATCAAGAGATTAAGCACGGCTCATTCCCCGTGTCAATCCCCTTCGTTGTCTCTAAATCGGTTTCTCCTCTATTGTTCATCCCCTTCCTGTTTTTAAACTCTCTCCGTGCATCTGCTGTTGATTCAACACCCACCCACTAGGTCATTCGCTCACAACCAGCTGTATGGAAGCATCCCCGAGGCACTGACCAGTCTCACAAAGTTATTTAATATGTACTTTTTTTAGAATTCTTAATAATGGAATCATCTCTGATCTGAGCTGAGGCACTGACCAGTCTCACAAAACTTTTTACCTTGTACGTTCTTGAGTTTTTTTTAGATTGAAAGCATCCCTGAGAGGCATTTACCTGTCTCACAAAACTCTTTGTCTTCTACGATAAAACATCCCCCACTTCCCCCAAAGTCATACATAACCCCCCAGTGCAGTCACCAATACGTGACTTCTCCTTTTGAGCTCAAACGTGATACAAACAAACATCATACACAACCCCAGTGCAGCGTTAGAAACAAGCACCTCCTCTCCCCTTCTTTCCGCCCCCCTCTTCTCCCTCCATCCATTTCACACCTCTCCTTTCCCCCCATTAAACTGCTCCTCACACCGCCCCCACTCCTCCCGTACCCCCTACGGCCCGCCCCTTCCCCTCCCACCACCGCAGGGACCTCTCACACAACTACCTCACAGGAGCCGGGCTGAAGCCAAAGCAGGCATATGCAGACCTATCCTTCAACTACCTCTCCGGCCCTATCCGCGAGTGCTCGTCTACCAACTATGATGCGAATTGCATCGCAGTGACAGGCGCCTGTCTTTCACAGATGCGTCCGGAGTCTGTCTGCAATTCGTTCTGTGGCATCTCGGGAACCTCCGCTGCCTGTGCGGGTCACGGGGTGTGCTACCCTACAGGCGCTAGCTTGCGGCCGGCGTGTGCGTGCGACCAGGGGTTTAAAGTTGTTGATGGCTTGACGTGCGTTCCTGAAGGTAAAAAAACACCGAGCAAGCCTGCAGGCTTTTGAGGCGCCTCAGAAGTACCCTACTGGCGCTATCTTGCGGCCAGCGTGTGCGTGTGACCAAGGGTTTAAAGTTGTTGATGGCTTGACGTGCGTTCCTGAAGGTAATGATGACCCTCAAGGAAGGCTGCAGGTCGTTCATGTGGGGCCCTCCCTAACGATGTATGTAGTGCCTCGGCTGTGCGGCGTTCATGTGGGGCCTCTTCATGTGTAAGGCTTGTTGGAAAAGGATTGAGTAGGTGCAAGGTTCTTGTGGCCCTGATTGACTTGTGCTCTTGCTGATGTATTGTTTGTTCACTCACTGCATTCCCTGAGCTGGGCTGAGCTGTTGTCTCACTCTCGCACTGTGTAGAAAGTGCCACCTCATGCACATAACGCACTGTGCGATTATGGTGTCTCGTGTACCAGCTCCGGGCTATGTACAACTTCTCCTCACTATATCGCAGCCTAACAAAGTGTATTTTCAAGGTTCTCCTCCTGCTGTGGGCACCGTTCTGGGTTCTGGGTCGCATCACAGACCCTGTACTCAGAACTCGTTCCTATTTCTTTTCTCGTGTTCCCCGTTGCTACTTCTCGTGCTTCCCCAAACCCACCCCTTGCTCGCCCAACTCTACGCAGAGCAAGACGAGGGCTACTCATTCACCAACACCATCGTTCCTCCACAGACCGAACTTACCAAGGGAACACGGAAGGAAACAGCAGGCAAGTTCACTGAAGATCCGGTCATGCTCTTCCTCTACGAGCAAGGCCGGGAAGACCCAGGGTGTGGGACAGAGCTCGCATTCAACGTCAACTTCACCTTCTCCCTCTCGCCCAAGCCTGGCAAAGCCGGCGCAAACGGCTTTGCGTTTGTCATCTCTGCAAAAAACCGTCCGGGGAACAGCAGCAGCGGTGGTGTGGGGTACGGAGGCATGGAGAGTCGAAGCATGGCGATAGAGTTTGACACGTTTCAGGACCCCAAGAACGGGGACCCAGACTATCAGCACATAGGGCTGAACGTGCAAGGTAGGGACGTGTCATTTGCGACAGCCAAGGCGCCATTTGTGCTGAACGACAGGAAGGAGTACACAGCATGGGTGGACTATGTCCCGGGGGATCCCGGCACCATTCAGGTGTTTCTGGCGAACTCCACAGCCAAGCCGGGAGCGGCGGTGCTGGAGCGGCGGTTCTCGCTGTGCGAGGTGCTGCAGCCGGGGCCACCGCAGGTGGAGCAGGGCGAGGAGGCGCAGGTGCAGGCGTACTACGTGGGGTTTGTGGCGTCCACCACTGTGGCGCCGTTCCAGAAGCACGTGGTGCTGGACTCCTGGGTGCATGCTGGTGAGGCTGCTGGTGGTGGTGGTGGTGGCAGTAGGGGTGGGGGTGGGAGGGGTGGTGGTGGGGTTCGTAGGTTGTTGTGTTGTGTCCATGATTGTGTGCAGGTCTATGCATGAGTTATCCATCCCGATTTCCTTCTCCTTTTTTTCTTTTCTACAATCTTATCTTAATGCCCGTAAGTTACGATAAACTCACGTCTTCTCTTGCTTGTGTGCTTGACAGGCCTGCCTCCGCCACACAAGCCAGTCAACATCGTTCCCAGTAAGTCCTTCAGCTTAGAGTGCATGTTCAGCTACTGAGTGCAGCGATCACAAATCAATTGTCCTTGTGACAACATGCCTGGGCAAGGACACTCACCCATTCTTCCACGTTCCCCACAAGCAAGACATCCCCAGGCACGGAAAGCTCTCCCCTTTCCTGCTCGTATGATATGTTCTCAGGCATCTCCCTTTCCGTCTCCCTCGTCACCACCACAAGGTTAGCACACTGCTTCATGTCCACTTCAACACGCCTCTATCCACTCCCACACACCCCTCGCAGCATATGGGCTGGCGGCAGTATCGATTGAGTCTTACGTGCCACAGTGACTTTTGAGTCGACTCAAAAGACACCCCTCGCAGCATGTGGGCTGGCGGCGGTATCGGTTGAGTCGTACGTGTCGCAGCAGGGGCGAGCCCCTTCCCGCGCTACTCCTTAACCATGCACACTGCTTCATCTCCTCTTTAAATACACGCCTCTCCGCTCCCACACACCCCTCGCAGCATACGGGCTGAACGCGTCGGTGGAGACGTATGCACCGCAGCAGGCGAGTCCGTTCCACTCAATCCCACACACGCCTCTCCATCCCACACACGCCTCTCCATCCCACACACGCCTCTCCATCCCACACACCCCTCTCCATCCCACACACGCCTCCCCACGCCCTCACTCGCAGCATACGGGTTGAACGTGTCGGTAGAGACGTATGCACCGCAGCAGGCGAGCCCGTTTCCGCGCTACGTGAGTGCAGACTACCGCGTGGCGGCGGACAAGAAGGACTCGTGGCGCTTCAGCGACTACCACTCCTGGGACTCCGTGCCCTTCCTCGGCTGGCCCGTCAAGGACCAGACCACCTGCAGTGAGTCGTGAGGACCAGACCACGTGTAGTGCGTCATGGGACATCTCAATATTGAGTGGTGAGACACGAGCTATTCAAACTCTGAGTTTTGAGACACCTCAAAACTGGCCCATCAAGGACCAAGCCACCTGCTGCAGTGAGTCATGGGACGTGAGCCGTTTCAACTTGAAGTGCTGTAACTTGCAATGATCAGCATTCTGTCTGGTTCGTATTGCTGCCTGAATCGTGGGCATGGCAAGTCTGCACCTTGTCATTGTCACACGCACAGCACAGGCACTACATAGGCGGCGTATGTAGTGCCTGTGCCAGTGCACTACGTAGGATGCAGCATCTTTCGCTCACATCCTCATCCCTAACCACCTCTTGTATAGACGTCTCAAAAGTAGTGCCTGTGCCTGTGCCAGTGCACTACATAGGATGCAGTGTCTTTCGCACACATCCCCATCCCCAGCCACCTCCATCAACGAACCCCCTGCCCTGCAGATGCGTGTTGGGCATACGCAGTGGTGGCGAGCATAGAAGCAGCGTACGGCATAGCAACAAGGCAGGAAGCTCCACGCCTCTCAGTGGACTCGCTCTTCACACTCATGGGTCTCACCACCGCGGCTGACAGGTGCTCTGCGGGGGGCTCGCCCACAGAGGCCTTTGAGAAGCTGCGCGCTCTGCCTAAGGACGGGCTTGTGCTAGCAGGGACGGGCGGCTCGCAGACGAACAAAGATACGGTGAGTGCAGCGGGGCTCTGTTTCTGAAACGTCTCTGAGAAACCTCGGAGGCAGGTCCTGCCACCTGTGCAGGAGGCCCCGTGGGTTCGCTCTTCTCGCTCATGCGCTTGCAGGGGGCTCTTTTCGCCACCCCGGCAGACAGGTGTCTAAGTAGTAATTCCCCACCTGAAAAAACAAGAAAAGTCTCAGGCTGAATCTGTTATTATTATCATTATTATCGTTATTATTGTTATTGTTATTATTATTATTACTATTATTACTATTATTACTATTATTACTGTTACTCTGGCTGAACCTGTTCGTTAGAAATTCTTTGGCCGTCTTTTTTTTTTTTCCTCTCAAATTCTCTGGCTGATTAAATAACAAAAAAAAAAAAAAACACAGAAAGGAAACGGAGTACATCCTCATCTAAAAAACAAGGGATGTACAGAACTGATGATTAGGAAACAGGGACTCTTGGGTCTAGCTTTTGCGTCCCATTAATATTCTGATGGTGGTGTATCTACCTGTTGACCAATTTACCTCTGTTTACGCATTTCCCCTTCTCTCCCTCTCTCTCGCCCTCACTCCTCACCGCCGCCACCTGGACATGAGAAGAAGCGGTACCCGATCCAGGGATTTGAGCGCACGTTCTTCAAGGGGTACATGGGGCTCATGCTGGCAGTGCAGCACCAGCCAGTTGTGGTGCACATCCAGGCCTCCACACAGTCATTCCTCGAATACGACGGGGTGAGTCACCCTCGCTTGCTCTTACTCCCTGCTTTCAGTTATTCCTTGCAAGGTGACTTTTGAGGCGACTCACAAGGCACCCAGCCAGTAGTGGTGCACGTACAGGCCTCCACACAGCCCTTTCTTGAATACGATGGGGTGCGCTTTGATTTCTCTTGCCTCTGATTCCCTGCCAGCGCTGCTGCTCTTCTGTGCTCCTTCTCTTCTGAGCGGAGAGCGGATTGCCAAAACAACTTGCATCCTGTTATGTGTTGTTTTCTCCCTTGTGTTATTTTGCTCTTGTTCTTCTATTTTTGTAATTGTTGTCCACAGAGATTTCCTGATTTTATTCTGGTTAACGCTGGCCCGTCTCTTTCTTCCCTCTCTTCCTACCCTGTCTCCCCTCCCTCCCCTCCCTTCCCTCTCACCCCTCCCTCTCTCCTCTCTTTTCCCAGACCTTCAAGTACCAGGACCCACAGTGCTACTCGGCCAACTTGAACCACGTGGTACTCGTTGTGGGCTACTTCATTTTCCGCGACGACGGCAGCCAGAACCGCATAGCGCCGCCCTTCTGGATCGTGCGCAACTCGTGGGGAGTGGAGTGGGGCGACCGGGGCCACATGCGCATGGACATCCAGGGAGGGGACGGCGTGTGTGGCATCAATGTGCTACCTGGCATCGTGCCCATTGTCAAGAGTATGCCTTCTTCCCTCCACCCAGCCTTCGTTCTGGAGGAGCACTCACTGTGCTGCCTGCCCAGTTGTTTTTTTTTCCTCTAATGCAAGTCAGGCACAAAAAAGGGTAACATGACGTTGGCGTTTTATCCATCTTACATATCGTCTGCATGGGACTCGCACATATTCACGAGCCCCGTTCTTTTTCCATCAACCAGCCATGTTTTCATCAACCACCTACTTCCACAGAAGCATCACAAATAGAAACTTCCACATGTTAAGTCCACCCCATCACCTGTTTTCTCCACCCTTGCTCCTCTTTTGTTCCTGACTCCAGTTCCCAAGGACCCGTGTGGGCTGAGGAGCTACAAGGGTGATGGGGACGTGCAGCCGGCGATGAACCCGTGTGGGCGCTTCACGTGCCGCCCCATCCCCAAGAACGACTCCAACTCCTGTGACTGCTTCATCCCGGAGGAGCCCAAGCAGCCCTTCGCTGAGGTCGCCAATGGATACGGCGCCAACACCTGTGCCTACGGTGAGGCTGTTGGCTCCAACACCTGTGCCTGTGCTGTGGTTACGGTGAGTCCGTTTTCTTGCAATGAGGTATTCTCATACCGCCATTGCCCAATGTTGTAACCTACTGTATCGCCAGCTCTGTAACCTTGCCCAGCTCAGTAACCCCCTTTCTTTCAACTTTGTGATTTCTTTTCTTGACCCTGCAACCCCCTTCGCTCAACCCTGGAACCCGCTCTGCCCCACTTTGAAGTCCCTCTGCCCCACTTTGCGACCCGCCAGTGGACGTCTGTGGGTCATACTTCAAGAGCCCCTGCTCTCAACTCTGTAACGTCCTTAGCTAAATCCTCTGACCATCTTTGCCCAACCCCATGCTGCAACCCGCCAGTGGACGTGTGTGGGTCGTACTTCAAGAACCCATGTGCGGTGGGCACATGCATCAACGATGGCAAGGGCGCCTACTCCTGCATCTGCCCTCCCACCTACATCTCCAGCCGCACCATCCTCAACTTCCCCACCTGCGACCCAGGTGCTGCTCCTGCCCCTGCCCCTGCCCCTGCCCCTGCCCTGTCCCTGCCCCTGCCCGTGCCCCTGCCCCGCCATGCAATCCACACCACTCGCACCTCTGTTGTTGCAGCTTGCATCTTGAAGAGAGCATCAGTAGTAGCCTTATTTCTGTAACAAGTCTACAGGAACCAGCTAACTGTTGAATCCAAGCGGATTTAACCCCATTCCCCACTTCCCCTGCATACTTCTGTCTAATTAACTATGCACCGTACTCCCTCTCTTCTCATGTCATCCTGTGTGCATACTCCTATCCTACTTCAATCCACGACCCTGCATGCTCCCTGCTGCCCCCACCCCTTGTACTTGCCTCTCTCCCAGTAAATGTCACGGCCACAGCAATGGCAGTGAGCGGGGTCAACTGGCGCTGCTCAGATGTCTATCCCATTGTGGGGATATCATACAATCAGTTCAGGCAGCAAAACCCGGTATGTGTGTTGCCTTATCCTTTCCTGTCAATGAATTAGCCAAGTGTGTGAGCAGAAGAGACCGATTGGTCACAGACTGGAAAGTACGCCTCGTAAGTGCTACACTAAATCACCTTGGAGTTGCGTTTATGCTCAGTGTAAGAGGTTGTGAGCGACCTACAAGAAAGATACAAGATCCATGGGAGGCCCATGCCAACGGCTGTGTGAAGAGTAGAGGGCAACATGAGCGGGAGGTGAGTGAATGGCAGCATGCATACAACCAAAGTCTCTCAATAAATACAGACAAGTGTCAGTGCTTTTGCCTCGTTTATTCATTCGGGTAAATAGAAAGACCTCCACTTTCTATGCCTTACTCCCATCCGTTGCATGCACTTCCTCTTTCTGTCTGGCCTGGCCAGCAAGTGGACTGCACTAAGCCGTTGGCGATAAGCACAACGCTGTCCGTGGGTGGGAGTCCTGAAATCCCCTGCACTTCCTATTTCTACGCCCTCCAAGTGAGCACTGATAGATGCATGCCCGTTCTATGCCCGCTCTTTCTTTCTTTCTTTCTTTCTTTTGCTTCTTTGTCGCTTATTAACCGTCGCAATCAAAGCTATCCTTCACCGCAAGGGTCCTTGCCAAGCTTGTCCTTGTCTTACATGGAGGTTTCATTTCTAGCCAGAGTCCTGCTGCTCCACGTCTCAACAAGACTCTGGGATTTGCTTCAGAAATCACTTTTTTTGTAGATCCCACTGTCTCAGCACTGCCCTTTATCAAATAAGCATTGCCATAATCCAAGACATCCCTCTGTGCAACAAGGAGAGCTGAGACCTGCCTCATTGACGATCTCTTTGTTTGCCATGAAGCAAGCAAGAAGCAAGGACAAGAGACCACTTTTTCCACCACCCCCATTCTTGCTCCCCACACCCATTCGTATTCCATTTGTGATCACACCCATTCTTTATCCCCACAAACATTCTTGATTTCCACTCCCATTCTTAATTCCCAGAACAATCATAAATCCCCACACCCATTCTGAATCCCCACACATCCCCACACCCGCTCTTAATCTCCACACCCTCAATCCTACGCCCATTCGTATCTCCCTCACGCCAGGGGGACACGTGTCGTTCCATGGCATATCAGCTCATAATGGCCCGCAGCAAGCTCATAGAGCTCAACCCCGGTCTGGACTGCGCCGTCCCTATCAAGCCCGGCCGCTCCGTGTGCATCGAACGCAGTGCTGCATACGCGTACACCGTTCCGTTGTGTCTCAAGTACGGGGTCATGCTGGCGCAGGACTCATGCGAGCGCATGCTGCAAGGGCTGGCGGGAGATGTGAATGCGACTACGTGGGCCATGCTGTATCGCACGAACCCCGGGCTGGTGTGCTCGCAGGTCATCCCGACTTCCATCGCGGCTGTTGGCAGCAACATTGGTGTGCAGGTGATGTGTGGTTCTGTTTGTCTCTCTCTCTCTCTCTCTCTCTCTCTCTCTCTCTCTCTCTCTTTCTCTCTCTCTATCACACACACACACACAGACACACACACACACACTCACAAAGGCAGTATTGGGGTGTACTTGATGCGTGATTCTGAATCATTTGTTTACATTCTGACAAGCATCATCGTCGTGCAGGTGATGAAAATATAAATCATTTGAGAGAATCAGGTGGTTCATCCTCTCACAAAAGAGTAGCCGTAGAGGGTTATGGGTAGATTTTCTTCAAGTCCGCCATAAGCTGTGAAAACTTGGGTTTACGATGATACTATTCCTCTTAACGTTCGCTCTGCTCTGCTCCCTTTGTCTCTGGTGTCCAATTGTCTTCCTGCCCCAGGTGTGCTTAAGAGTGGAGTATTGGCCATTCACACTAGGCCGCTGTAATAAGGGAAGGGCCAAAAATGTTTCGCCAACGTTGTCGTGTTCCGGTGCTTATAGTTTCTATGATGCAGACAAGAAGAAAGCATCTGCCAAGTTTTCCACCTACAACGGAAACGCATGTGCAGGGAACGTTGGAGGCAAATTTATTTGTGTGCCATAACCATTGTGTGCTGTTTTTATCTCAATGCTGCCGAATGGAATACCTTTTAAGAGAGATACATAGCAGAATGATGATGCTACAATATGAAATTCAATTAGAAGGGATTCTTGTATGGTGCAAGAGCCGACTCTACCGAGTACGAAGTTGAGTCAGAAGAGTTGAAGCGACACTAGCAACTGTCTCACCACGACCGATGAAGGCAAACGCTTTTTAAATCAAAAGAGTGGGAACAGGTTTGAAACGGGTTCCCGCGCCGCACGGTTCGAATTTGCTGTAATAAGAGAATGTATCCCTTATAGAACTGGCTAGTCTAGGTCGTTTCGCTTTCCTTTGTATTTCTATATAAACTCGATGTATGCATGCTATTATCAATCTCAGTTATTTACATTCACTCTAACCTGAGGACATAACTTCCGCTGCAAACTACATGCGATCAACCCTGAGGCGATCCTTCACTAAGTCACATTTGGGATTGTAACATGATATGAGAGCTACTTAGGGATTCTTCGCAACTTCACTTACGTGAAATCCGTCGAACCAAGATCTGGCGAGCGGCACACGCTCCAAGACCAAGATGGCCGGAGGATTCGGAGGCCGAACCAATCTAACGGCCAAAGGTCAAACCAACCAGGCGGCAACTACGATAAGCAAAACTGCAATCGAGCTGTTGTTTTCGCGATTGACAACTATGGAGGAAGATCTCCAAGCATTGCGCAAAGGCGACGTGGGTGTTGGAAACAATCGGTCCTAAGCGCCTCTATCGTGTCGAAACACTAAGGCACAAGCGAAGCAAAGCATATCGAGGCACCAGCGAGTCAACCCTCGGAGGTTGAAGTAACTGCTGGAGGTTACGCGAAAGTCAAAGGTCAGCGACCTTTGACCTGACAAGTACAGCGAGACAGCAAGGACACACAACTGACTCGCTACAGAGCAGTTGCACGAGTCGTCACTGTATCGAACCGCAACATCAACAAGTAAAACAGTTAGAACCGTATCTCTTCGTATTCCTTGTACTCTTATATAATCTTGTATCTCTTTGTTTTAATCAACTTACTATGCCCTCACATACTAGCGCAAGGTGGTTCACAAATCTTTATTAACGCTTCAGCTACTACACCAACTCTACCCAGAGTTCACCCCTACAAAGATCCTAAGGTCTTTTTCAGCCCAACAGTGGGAACCTCCTCGCAACCAGCACAACCTGCTCAACCGGCCACAAACACCCGTGATACCGCCGCGCACACCTTCTCCCTCGACACAAACAAATCAACATCAACAGCCCCCTGTCCAAGTGACGAAGCTATCAACTCTGCGCAAGCACGCTTTCTGAGGGATTCAAAAATCAAGACTACTGCCGCATTTGACAACAATGACTTCTATACATGGAGTTTTGAGCTGGAGCTCCTCTTACAAATAGCGCATATCTACCACTACTTCGACGACTCCTACTCTAAACCAGTGGAAGACACCGAAGACACTCAGGCTCAGTGTCAAAACATATGCATATCACTATCTAGGCTATATTGGGGATAGCCTTAGGGGGTACAGAAACTTTCTCGACACTCTAGTCTTGTACCCAAACCTTGACCTTATCTCATCATCCTTGCCTTAGTTATTTACATGGTAACTAGAGCAGGAGGTCTCTTGGACCTAAGAATTGGGCCCACCTAACTGCCTGCCTTGCCTACTGCCCGCGCGCGCCTCAGCTGCAGCGCGTGTCACTTTTTTTTTTTTTTTCGCGCACGCCTCGACTACTAGCGCGCGCGTCACTGTTTTTAGCGCGCGCCACTGCTGTAGCGCCGCACGCCGGCCCGCGTCGCCCGCACAGCCCGCGTAGAGCCCGCGCAGCCCGCGTAGAGCCCGCGCAGCCCGCGTAGAGCCCGCGCAGCCTGCGTAGAGCCTGCGTAGCCCGCCGTCGCGTGCAACCCGCCGTCGCCCCACGCGCTGCGTCTGTCGCCAGCGCGGCCCGCCGCTGCGCCGCACGTTGCGTCGGCCCGCTACTGCTTAGCGCGCTGCTTTTGGAGCTCGCGTGTGGCCGCTCCTGCCTGCTGCCTACTGTCTCCTGTCTCTTGCCTGCTGCCTGCTGTCTCTTGCATGCTGCCTTCTGCCTCTGTCTTTGCTTGTGGCCTGGTGCCTGCTCCCTATTGTCTGCTGCCTGCTGTCTCCTGCCTCTGCCTGCTGCCATTATGACGACGCCTAACGTTCTCGTGTTCGAGCCTGACGGTCGCCCCATAGAGTTCGCTGTGTGGTTAGATGATCTCCAACTGTTCCTTCTGACCGATGCCAAAGAGGGCGTTTCACTGTTCAATTACGTGTCTGGCACTGCCGTTGCTCTTGCTGCTGATGCTCCTACTCTTGAACGCTCACAGTGGCAGACTCGCGATGCTGCTGCATGCCTAGCTATTAGGAACCATCTGCCGATTACTGAGCGCGCGCATTTCAGCCAACACAAAACTGCTAAGAAGTTGTACGACGGTGTGGTTGCGCGCTACTCCTCCCCGGCCACCGCAGCCATAGGCCGGCTCATGCTACCCTACCTGTTCCCCGACCTTTCCTCGTTCACCACTACTGAGGACCTCATTTCCCACCTGCGCGCTACTGACACTCGCTTTCGTGCCGCCCTTTGAGTCGAGTTCTGCGCCGCAAACCCCCCCCCAATGTACTTCACTCTCTATTTCCTCGTCACCCGCCTCCCTGACACTCTTAGCTCAGTCAGGGACTACTTCCTCGCGCTAGACCCCCCCACTCTCACTGTCGACGACTTTGAGAAGCACCTCCTTGCAACAGAGAAGAACATTCTCGCTGTAGGTGCTGCTCGTGGCACTCCTCGCTCTCCCCTCTTTGAGGGGTGCTCCCCCTCCCCTCACACCCCCTCCTATGCCTCCGCAGCTGCTGCTCACGGCTACCTTGGTGCTGAGGAGGTCGGGGCTGCTTCCGCTCCCAGTGGGAAGCGTCGCAGCGGCAGGGGCGGCAAGGGTGGCAGGGGAGGTGGGGGTGGCAGTGGAGGTGGCGGTGGTACAGGCGGCGGGGGAGGTGGAGGTAGTGGGGGTGGTCGTGGGGGTGGAGGTGGTGGAGGTGGTGGTGGGGGCGGCGGAGGCACTGGGAGCGGTGGAGGTGGTAGCAGCGGTGGTGGGGGAGGAGGGAGCGGCGGTGGGGGAGGAGGGAGCGGTGGTGGCAGTGGTGGTCAGGGCCAGCAGCAGTCACAGCCGCAGCAGCAACAATAGTAGCGTCAGCGCAAGACCCCCACTTCCCAGCAGCTTCTTGACTGGTATGCCGGGCGTGGGGCTTTTGGGGGTCTTGGTCGCTGCCCCTATATCATTCGCACAGGTCCCCGCACTGGTCGCTAGTGCACAGGGTTTCACACTGAGCAGCGCTGCTTTGCTCAGCTTAGCGACGCCTGGCACGCCAAGTTTCCTGATGCTCCCGAGTTCCCCAACTGGGCAGAACTGCTTAGGCGTGATGTACCTATCTTTGATCTTGACTATGAGGCTATTCTTGCTGCTATGTATGCATTGTCTGTTAGTGCTAAGGGTGACTGCTACTTCTGTATACCGCCGGATCCTGGTATAGTCCCTGGTATAGCGCCTGCAGCACTAGGTGCTTGTGAGTCTGCTCCCCTTGGTACTGTACCTGCACAGGCCTTGCACACTTTTACACTTGACTCTGGTGCTTCCCGCTGTTTCTTTCGCGACAGTACCACAGTCACTCCCCTCCTTGCACCTGCTCCTGTCTCACTGGCTGACCCCTCTGGGGGCCCAGTTCTTGCACGGTCTTCCACTGTGCTTACGTGTCCGGCGGTCCCGTCTGGTGAGCTGTCTGGTCTCGACCTCCCCTCGTTCTCTACGAACTTGGTGAGCAACGCTGTCCTCCAGGATGCGGGGGTTTGCACGTGCTCCGAGACCGGCCGCCACCTGGCCACGTTCACCCGTGCGCCAGGGTCTAGTCTGTACACCCTCACCACCGCGTCGCGCTCCACCCCTTCGTCTCCCCAACTGCACATGTCTGCTCAGGTAGCTACCCAGTGTGAGTGTCGCCGGCTGTCGCACGACACTCTCCTGTGGCACCACCGCCTTGGTCACCCCTCCTTGCCTCGCCTGCGTAGCATGCACTCTCGCTTCCTGGTCTCTGGTCTTCCCAGGTCTGTGCCTGTCCTCCCTCCCTCGCCTACTCTGCCCAGCATTCCTTGTGTCGAGGGGCGACAGCGCGCCGCACCTCACTCCTCCTCGTTCCCTCCCACAGAGGCTCCCCTGCAAACTCTCCACCTGGACGTATGGGGCCCTACCCACGTCCGTGGACAGGGCCATGAGCAGTACTTCCTGCTGGTAGTCGACGACTACACGCGTTACACCACGGTCTTCCCCTTGCAGCGCAAGGGGGATGTCCCTGATGTTTTGATCCCCTGGATCCGCGCTGCTCGTCTCCAGCTCCGCGAGCGGCTCCAGTCAGACTTTCCTGTCCGCGTCTGCACTCTGACAAAGGTGGTGAGTTCTCCTCAAAACTCTTGGTGGCCTTCTGTGCGGAGCACGGCATCCGCGAGACGTTTGCGCTTCCGGCCTCTCCGCAGCAGAATGGGGTTGCTGAGCGCCGCATTGGCTTGGTCATGGAGGTCGCTCGTACCTCCATGATCCATGCGGCTGCCCCCCATTTTCTGTGGCCGTTTGCGGTCCGGTACGCCGCGCATCAGCTCAACCTCTGGCCCCGTGTCTCCTTGTCGGAGACCTCGCCCACACTGCTGTGGACGGGGAAGGTTGGCGACACGTCGTGTTTCCGGGTCTGGGGTGCTCGTGCCTTTGTCCGCGATACCAC